TAGATATTAGCAGATGGTCATTAACCCCGTATTAATCCCCGTAGAAGTATTTCTTCTAGAGTGGACATCATAAAAATGAATATGCTCCCAAAGATATTGTACCTATCCCAGTCTGTTTCTATAGAAAACCCTGATAGATACTTTGTAGAGTGGGATAGGATCCTCTCAAGATTTATATGGGCGGGTAAAAAGCCAAGAGTTAAGTTCAAAACACTTCAGCTTCCCAAAGATAAAGAAGGATTAGGCCTCCCTTGCCTACAGGACTACTACAGGGCAACACAAATAAGAAATCTGGTGGGCTGGTGTAAACCCAGATACTGTTCAAGATGGAAGGAAGTGGAATTGTCCTTGGGAGGTAACTTCCCTGTCGGGGCACTGATAGGAGATCCTTCAGAGTTACGACTCCTGGGAGACCCGGGCAACCCTTGGATAGTAAGTTCAATAAAAATATGGGAAAGAGTACTTAAAAAGTACCAATTAAACCAGAGGGCCGGATTCCTTAAATGGTTTGCATATGACCCAGAATTTTTGCCTAGTAAGATCGACTTGACATTCAAAACATGGGCAAATAAAGGTCTCACCACATACAGTACCTTGTTGAAAAATGGAAAAGTGATGAGTTTCCAAGACCTTAAGAAAAAGTTTGGGTTGCAAAATCAAGATTTTTTTTAGATATTTGCAACTGAGGGACTTCCTGAATAAAAAGCTAATAAATTCTCAGTTATCGACTGGGAATGAAGAGATTATAAATATATTCGAGAATGCATATAGAGATGGACCCTATCAAAAAATTATTTCCAAATTATATTGTTCACTGATCAATCTACGGGGTCATGATACAAGATATGTTAAAGCAAGATGGGAAACAGAGAGCAATCTATTCCTAACAGGAGAGGAATGGGATGGGATTTGTAGGCAGCAGTGGTCAGTAACAAGCTCCCCCTCGTGGAGGGAATTCAGCTGGAAGAATGTATTTCGTTATTTTATGACCCCAGCCCAAAAATCCAATTATTCTCAGAATACAGCATGCTGGAGGCATTGTGGACATGCAACAGCAAATCATTTTCACATTTTTTGGGAATGTCCCCGTGTGGTTCCATTTTGGAAGGAAATACATAAGGTCATGGAAACAATCTTCCAAAAGAAAATACAATTTCATTTTGCATTATTGTACCTAGGAAACCTAGAGAGTCTTAATCTATGCAAACCGGATAAATATTTGTTCAGTGTGCTGTCGGTAGCTTGCAAAAAGGCCATAACTCGCCTTTGGATTAAAGAGGATATTCCTACCATAGATGAATGGATTGATATGATATATAATATTTTTGTTATGGAAAGAATAACTTTTAGGCTAAAGTGCCAGGCGGACTCATTTGAAGAATATTGGTTGAAACGGTTGTGTTTTGTTTGGTTTTGCTTTCCACCTCACAGTGATTAAATTGAATTTGTTGTACATGTTGTATAAATAAGAAAACTAATAAAACATAAATTAAAAAAAAAACAAACTCTTTCTACACTTTGTGTATCTTTTCAGCTGAGACACAAAAATCCATTTTTGAGCTAATGCCCATGTTAGAGTAGATGTTCACAGCCGATTTAAGCATGAGCTGACTTGTTAGCAGAGTCACGTACACGGGGTACAAAATGAAGGCGTAGATAAAGAAGACAAAAGTGAGCATTCTTTTGTACAACTAAGCACTTAAAAGGAGATAAAACTTAAAAGAAGGTGCAGTTTTTGAGCAGCCTGCCGTTGGCTGCGTTCCTCTTTGTTTCGCGAAGAACAAACTGTTCCAACCACACAAAACATGATGTGAGTCTTCATGCTCAGCCTGGTGATGGTGAAATTCAAGCTAAGGAATTCAGGAAATCATTTCTTAAACACTGATACACAAAAACACATCCTTTAAATTACTATTATGTTTGCAATTTTATGTCCTTTTTATAAGGTTTCAATGTGATTCCACTTTTATAGCAGTTTTATTTTACTCTCACATCCAATGGGAATCTCTACCAAACAGTGGAAACATTGTGGACGTCAAATTTGAGTGAGTGACACGCAGTACAAAAGTACAGGAATCACTCTTAAACTGTTTTCTAACAACCAAATTAGGTCAAACAGCCTGTTTATGTAATAAACATGATACAGCAATAAGAAAGAGACGTGGCAAAAATGGCATCCATGGGAGAGTTCAAAGAGAAAACCACTGCTGACAATAGAGAACACAATGGCTCGTCTTACATGTGCCAAAAAACATCTTGATGACTTTGGGGAAACTATTCTGTGAACTGACAAGACCAAAGCTGAACTTTTAGGAAGTTTTGAGTCTGTTACATCTGCGTAAAACGAACAGCATTTCATAAAAAGAACTTCATAGCAACAGTGAAACATGGTGGTGGTAGTGTGATGGTCTGCGGATGTTTTGGTGCTTTCTTGAAGTGCTAGCACACTTGGATGTTCCAAAACACCCCAGCAAGTTCATCTCTGAATGGCTCAAAAAATAAAAAAAATAAAAAATTGAAAGTGGCCTAATTAAAATCTGGACTTTGATCTGATACTTAACACACCACTCATGCTTGAAAACCCTCCATTATGTCTGAATAAAACAATTCTGTAATAAAGAGTGTGCCAAACTCCTCCACAGCAAGAGAGACTCGTTGCCAGTTATCGCAAACGCTTGAATGCAGTTCTTGCAGAAGACTCTGGCTTGCTCTTTACACCAGTAATTACACCTTGTTAGCCCATAAGCTCACAATCCTGGCATGTTTGGCCTCTGGCAACATCTTTCATCTCTGTAAAATAAAGGCAGTGGAGGTCAAAGCATCTCTAACACATGATACTTCTTCACTGTTTGTGTCTGCTGTATGTGACTGTGTAGGTCATGTTTTCCACACCATAAAAGGAGCTCTTTTTAAAGATTACGGTGTTTCTAGTGTTTCTAGTAAATGCTGCTGCCCTCCATAACAAGTATCTGCTTTCAAAGAGTTTTCCTCCACAAACAGCCGCTCAGCGATCCCATGTGCCGTTCCTGTTGAAGTGTATTACTGTGGTGACCTTAAAAAAGACAAAAATAATTTTGTGTATTTTAATATTTTTATAGAGCCTCCACAAAGACTTTAGCCAATAGTAGAATAATATGCGTAACATAAAAAGCTAAATTTCCATCAAAATCACGATGATCTTTAACTTTCTTTTAAAGCTATACCACTGTAACTGCGCTTACTTTGCGGGGGTGGGGGTCATTTCTGTAGGTGTTCTTGAACCGCAGATGCCCTACCTACCACAGCTTGCATAAAGAGACACACACGGGGATGTTTCCAGCAGCTTGATGACTGTGCTTAAGAATCAGAGCAGTGGTACGACCCGACACTCCTCGGGGAGAAGGTCAGGACACTCTTCATCATTATTAACTGGCCCCATATAGCTGCACCTGTTTTTTGTTTTTTTATCATCGACAGAGACTGAGGGGAAGCTAAATGCGGTATTTATATCCTGGGAATATTTTGATCACTTTGCCTCCAGCTCTCCAACATCAGACCTTTCACACGAGGTGGAAAAACCACGCAGACAATTTCGCGGTAAGTGGGAAAGAAAGCCATCTAATAATAATTATTATTATAACAACTGTACGTCAGATATAATTTGTTAGCTTTAACCTCCTGCATTTTTAATTTCTCTTTGATGTTTGGGCTGATTGGGACCTGATGAATGTAAAAACAAAGAATTACCAGATTTTTTTTTTAACGAGAAAACTACTGTGACGAACATTAATGGCTATTGTTAAATCTAAACACTGAAGTCACTTTAAGTGACAGTCCCGCAGTGTAAAAACGCATTTTCCCTGTATAAACACAGCAAACTATACAGTGAGGTCATTACATTTGGCACACCTGCTAAAATTGTATCGTGCTTTCCTTTACTACTGCTGCTTTATCATAACATCCAGTGTTCACAATACAGGAAGCAGAGTCTTCATTAAAAAAAAAAAAAACAACCTCTAGAACAAATACTTTTTTTTGTCCTCCTCCCTGTCAGCTCCATATTCAACATCTTTTGTCGAGTATATCCACTATCCCGACTCTGCACATACCCCTAACCACCTCAGCCTTGCCTCTCCTTGTCTCCAAGCTGCTCAGTCTGAGCCGCCCCTCTGCTGAACTAATTTCTGATCTTGTCCATCCTGCTCCATGACCTTTAATGATTAATTAGCCAATATTTTTTCTCTTCGCAGGTTTGAGGATTGTGCAGACACTGCTGATGATGATTTGGTGCTTCCAGACTGTATTGTTGTTCATAGCTCACCTGGTTCTCTCAGACTGGGCCCCGGCTGCCCCCCCAACCCAAAACAGCTTCTTCTACAGTGACTACCTCAATGAAAGCGGCAACAACCAACGTATGCACATAATTGCTCAGACCCTAACCTTTTAATATAAAATCAGTATGATAAGTTAAATCTGTATTTATTCTGCAGTTCATTTTATTGGTATGAAACTCTACGTGGACTCTGCTGAGCCATCAGTGCTTTCGGTCAGAGGGGGTAATGCGACCCTACAATGCAGATTTTGGTATGAGCCTGTGCCGAGCTCACCAAGGGAGGTCCGGGTCAAGTGGTCCTGGCTGCCCGCCGCTGGGGGACAGGAGACTGACGTGATCGTGGCTTTCGGGACTCGATTTCGAAGTTTTGGAGATTTCAGGTTAAAGATATGATCAACTGAATACGATAACCTGATCGCTGACTGTTTGAGCATTTTTTCCTTTAAACTATTAACATGCACTGTCTGTCGGGCAGGGGTCGTGTGCAGCTCCGACAGGATTTCCCAGGAGATGCTGCACTTGTGTTGAATAAACTCTGGCTGAATGATACAGGTCGCTATCGATGTACTGTCGTGGATGGACTGGAGGACCAAAGCACAGTGGTTCACCTAGAGTTACAAGGTACTGCATTTACACCTTCAGCTATCCTGTTTGCTTCCGTGAATGAAAGCTGCGACATGTAGAGTCTAGATCAGCGGTCCCCAAACTTTTTTGCACCACGGACCAGTTTATGTCCGACAATATTTTCACGGACTGGTCATTAAGGTATCGCGGAGAAATTCAACAAAATAAAACCGGTACCAAAAAGAAGACGATTTATTCATAACACACGGAAAAATTCCCAGAGAAACAGAGTTAACGATAAAAGCGTCGGGAAAAAAACCTCTGAAAAGCTAAAAACCGATAAAAACCCTGAAAACCAGAAATTTCGCATCCGAGCCTCATCTTTTACGGCCCGTTACCAACGCAACAACTTACGGACCGGTAGCGGTCTGTGGCTCGGGGGTTGGGGACCGCTGGTGTAGATATCCATTATAAAAGCAGACTGCTTACATTTTTAAATAAATCATCAATTAAAAAAAAAAGAAAAGCAAAAGACAAAAAAAAGCTGCAAACAACTGATAAACATTTTACTTTCCAAATTGAGTTGCCATAGAAAACCACACAATTAACTTTAACTTCATCTGTTTGGTTCAGCTGACCCAGTAGCCTGTGATTTCCCACTGTTGCAGATCAAAGGGTTTTCTTTTGTAGTTTGTAGTAAGAGCAGATGATTGCAAACCTACTTCCTGGAATTTAAAAAAAAACAACAAAAAAACACAACAACAAAAAACCCACAAGCCAGTGGTAGTATCACCTGGTAATCAAAGTAGTAACAATAGATGAAATAACAATAGCAGTGAAAGCTTGACACACTTTGAAGTCCACATAGATATTCTGATGTCTGATTGAATCCTCCACCCAGGTGTGGTCTTTCCCTACCAACACCCTCATGGTCGTTACCATCTGAGCTTCCTGGGAGCCCAGCAAGCCTGTAAGGAGCAGGACTCGACAGTGGCCACCATCACACAGCTCTTCCAGTCTTGGAAAGAGGGAATGAACTGGTGCAATGCCGGCTGGCTGGCTGATGGGACAGTCCAGTATCCGATCTCCCAGTCCAGGGAGCCCTGCGGGGGAGCCCGCCTCGCCCCAGGTGTCCGCCGCTACGATAGACTTCACCTCTACCCTAATCACTACGATGTCTTCTGTTTCTCCTCTTTGCTCCAAGGTGAGGCGAAGCAGAAGGTGATGCGAGGTCAACAAGGCCACAGAGAAGCTAAAGTGATATTGAGTGGCCATTTCCTGATGTGTAATTGTGTTTTCCTTACTGTGACATGTCAAGATGCCCACACTGACAAAGATTAGCAGATCCATTACTTAGCAGTTTCACACCCTCATTTCTGAAGAGCACAGTGGCGCAGATTCCCATTTTCTCTCTTTAAAGGTGCTAAGACTCATTTTTTGAGCCCCCATTTATTTATACAACCACTGTATGAATAAATGACCTAACTGAATATTCTAATTCATCATAATTCATTTTGCAGAAACTCAAGTACAAATACACATTAGCATTTATGGGTGATAAACTGCAGTTAAATAGCAGTCTGAAACACGTCTGTGCGGCTAACTGTCAAAATAAATGTGTTTTATTCTAAGGGAGAGTCTACTACCTTCAGTCCTCTCACAAGATGAACCTGACTGAAGCTCATCATGCGTGTCAGGAGGACGGAGCAGAGATTGCCAAAGTTGGACAGCTGTATTCTGCGTGGAAGTTCACGGGGCTTGAACGCTGTGATGCCGGCTGGCTGGCCGATGGAAGCGTTCGCTATCCCATCACCAGACCTCGAAGTAACTGTGGTCCGTCTGAGCCAGGGGTACGCAGCTTTGGTTTCCCACCTCCACAGCACAAGCATGGAGTCTACTGCTACAAGTTAGATACTGAAAGAGTGTAGATCTCCACCCATCCTTGGTGGGCCATAACATTTAAATATTTTTTAAGATTATTATTATAGCCAACAGGAGGCTTAACACTGTAGACGAGTGCACTTCTGCAGTCTGCAAAACATCTACAGGTTCACAAGATGATGAACAGAAGAAACTTTAATGCTACAACATTTTAAAAAAAGAATCTAAACTCTTATACATTTCTTTCCATGTGAGCTACTACAGATTTTACTTATAATTACCACTGAAATTATTCAAGTAGAATAAAACTACTTTCAGCTGTTTCTTCATTAACAAGGGCTCACCACATCAGCTAGCACTGCACATTTGATTTAGCAGTTTTTGTAGAGCTTTTTCACTTGTTGGATCAATATGTAAACCACTACGCTATGGAGCTTTAAATACTCCAACAGAATAGTAAAAAGAAAATCCCTCGTTATATTTGACACGAGGATTCAGAGCTCAAATACTGGAATTCTTGTACTTTTTAAACATTTTTTTCCCTTTCGCTTTCACCATAGCTGAGAGACAGCAGGAATATAAAACATAGGAAAACCTGGGGAGAAGGAAAATAACATTCAACAAAGTTGCTGTCTGATTTCCTCTTTCATACATGAACGTAAAGCATTTACTGTGATGTCTCACCAAGTTGTACTTACATCATCTGAAGCACATGACAATCAACTCAAAATCTAGCAAAGGAGCTGGCTAGTTGTTTTTTTTAATGAAAATATATATCCTATTTATTACAAATAAAGATCCTCATACAGAACATCTGGTTTTGTCTCTCTGCTCATACTGTACCTCAGTGTTTGAATGTGTAACTTAAGCATGCCACCTGTCCTCAACAAATAAGTCTGTTAATTGTTAAACTAAGAAAAAGGTGTTTGAATTCAACTATCCTGCTAATTCGCACACATTTATATTAAATACTGAAATGTTTGAAATGATTGTTGTACGTTTGCATTTGAGATGCAGTAGCCTGGCACAAAGACACAAAACACTCAAGGCTTTGTCCACAGTGAAAAAGAAAACATATCACTTCCACTTCTTTGAGTAATTCATGTGCAATCAAAAAACATAAATCTGTATTTATATATAAGACGGTATGCCCTTCTCTATGTAAACAGAGCTTCGAGAAGAAGATATTCGATTTTCATCCTGACCCCTGCCTTTTTCTGAGGAGCCAACTTCTTAAACACTTTCGTGAGGGTCATAAAGTAATACTCATCGCAGTCTTGTGGTTTTGGAGTGTCTGTCTGTACACCTTTGTGACATTTAGAGGAGTCTGTCTCTGTACTCCTCTTCATTTTCCTCCCAGTGTCACATTTGCCTGATCTGGTGAAACTGTGAGACACAGAATGGCCGCCGCTGGCTCCGTGGCTGTTTTGGCCCTCTGAATCTGAGACGATAGTTATGCCGTTACCGTTCACATCCCTATCCTGTGAAGATAAAACAATTTTTTTAAAACCAATTCAAATCTCTTGGATGACTTTCCTTTTTGTTGGTTTGATGCTCAATTGGTAGAACTGGTTCCACATCAACAACGTTGAAAGAACACAATGAAACATTTGGAGCTATTAAGCAAATAGCTTAAATATGTGCAGGGTTCACATCTCGCCATAAGGATTGTGGTAATCAGTGGGACCTTCAACCGATGTTAGCATATTTAAATTTAGCAATGAAACAGAAGCAGCTGGTTGAAGGTAATGGGTATTAGGTGACTGCTGCTTGTCTGATATATGGCTGGCAGTGCATGATTTTATTAATATAAATAGAAAGGTACTCTACTACAATTAAAAGTCTGTAAAAATCTTAAAATGAAACCTATTCTCTCAACCCCCTCAGCCCCAATTATCATGAATGTTTAATACCAGAGACATCCACTCATTCTGGGCCATCTCTTTTTCCTTCAGAGAAGGGGAGTTGTGCCCCATCTATAAATTTCTTGGATGTCCCCCTGATATGTATAACAAATGCTGGTTTTCTTTGCTTGGACAAGCTGACCAATTGTAAGTGACTGTCTTTCTAAAGTGGCTACAGCTTTTCCACTAGGCCACACACAAAGTATGTAATAAAACTATAGACATGCACACTAAATATTTAGGAAAATTGTTAAGAGATAATGCATATCTTCTTTAACATAGAGCACGTGCAGCACTACACCATCACACCCTCACCATGTCATATGAAGGGCTCCCTCTGTCATTTTGGATTCTTTGTGCCAATTCAGCGTGTAGTTTGGATAATTTCCGGGCCCTCCTCTGTTGTTGCTCACTGCAAAATCACAGATGACTGTGGAAAGTTTTCTTTCTTATCACTGTAGCTTTGCAGTACAAACAGTGGTAATGCGCCTGACTTCTGCACTGGAGTCTACACCTGTGGAAGGTGTATTCTGAAACAGAAAAGATGTAAACATCATGATTAGGAATGAGTTGGTTTAGCTGAAACTTAAAGTTCTGAAACATACTTCCAGTTTCAAAGGCTTCCCTTCGATGGCTGTCCAAGTGGATCCTAAGACTGGGGCGGTTTGTGGGTTTGAAAATTTCAGGTGAACAAAACGGACAATGAAATTTTCCTGGAGAACAGCAAGTGTTGCATTTTTGCAGAGCAGGAATAGAAAATCCCTTTCGGATAGACACGTGAAACTGGAATAGATAATAAAGTCATTAATCTGAAAATATCAGATGCATGAAGAAGGGCAGCCAATAACAAGTCCTGATGTCTGCTGGAGGTACGACAGCAAGGAAGCTTAGTAGAAATGCAATTACTTGGAAACAGCAATGTGGAATCATAAAGTTTTAATTTGTGTTATTTAATGTGTCCAATGCAAAGAAAAAAATGTGTAATTCTGATTGCAGTTGAATCACTTTTAATGACTCTTAGACTAGGTTTGTCAGCAACTGATAGCCTTTTTCAGAGTTAAACTTACTCCTTTGCATCTCTTAAACAAGGTCAAAAAAGAAAAATGCAAACAAACAGTTCCTATGACTAATGACTAGCTTAATTGTTAGCCACCTGCTAGATAAGCTGAATAACACTTAGTTAGCTGCCAAATAGAAAACAGTCAACCTGCTATGAAGGCAAAAGACTCATAATAAATGCTGCCTAGAATAAAAATACTTACATTTAACTGCTGGGGACTGTCCATCTTTCTCACAGAGCTACCTGAGGCCTGCTCTTCTTCTTTGGGGAGCTCGCTGCAGTTTTTCACCCTCTATATTGCTTTGCTGCCTCCCTCTGGTTTTGAAGTGTCTGTCTGTACACATGTTAACATTTTTGTACTCATTTTCGTCTTCCTTGCGTTCACCTGACCAGGGGAAGCTTCGGTGCTCTGAAATGATAGTTATTTTGTTACAGTCAAAACCTTTGATGTAACTTGCTTCTTAGTGTGATGCCCAGTTTGTAGTAACATGCAAGTAACATTATTCAACATGCCCACATCTTTCTAAAGGCTTATAAACCAGCTTTGTCACCGACTGCTAACCATTTTTAGGGTTAGAGTTACTCTTTTGCTTCTCTTATGTTAAATACAAATATAAGCAAACAATTTCCACTGTTATGATTAGCCTATCTGATATGTTGCATGTAAGCCAATTAGCTACCAGACAGAAGTATTAACTTCCTATGAATATAAAAGGCTCATAATAACTGTTAGTTGCTAGCTAAAACAATATTTGCATTGAACTGTTGGTCACTGTCCATCTTGCTCACAGAACTACCTGAAGCCTGTCTTTTCTATGAACATAACAGCAATTGGTTATCCTTTAAATTGCTTTACTGCCTCCTTCTGGTTCCTGTCAACAATAGTTTGAGTCTTTTAATTAATCCAGTGAATTTTAGAAACCTTTAACATTAACACACACACACACACACACACACACACACACACCCCTTTACTAAGTCCACAGCCTAAAGTACAGGGTGGGCCATTTATATGGATACTCCGTAATAAAATGGGAGTGGTTGGTAATATTAAAGTCCTGTTTGTGGCACATTAGTATATGTGAGGGGGCAAACTCCTCAAGATGGGTGGTGACCATGGTGGCCATTTAGAAGTCGGCCATC